ACGACGACGACGGCGACGACGACGACGGCGATGACGACGTCGACGACTCAAACGGAAAAGCCTCTCGCACACGCCGACGCGGTCGGCGGACTTCTGACCTGCAGCTCGTCGAGCTGCGCCTGTTGGCGACGGCATTCAGTGCGACGTGCCATCGCCACGCGCGCTGGATGCGCAGGCATCCCGGTGGAACCCCAGCGCTGCTCCCCGCCGCCCCCGGGGGTCGGCCTCGAGCAGCGGGCATCCCACCTTCCACGGCGGCGCCTCTCATCGAGCGTCGGCTAAACGTACGGTGGAAATCCATGCCAAGAGACACCCTGCTTGCCTCCAGGGTGCCCTGGGTTTCCTGGGTTTCGACGGTTTTGCTATGGAGTACGTGGCTTTCCCATACCAGAAGTCAATGGACGGCCTGGGGTCTCAGGGTTTGGTTTCTTGTGGAAGGTTTCTTGTGGTCGAGCTCCTCCTGTACGCGTTGGAGTGAACAGCTTTCGCTGGAGAGACCTTCGGTACGGGCACATCGGGTCCCCAGATGATTGAGCGCGTTGCGATGGCAACGTCTTGCGCGCTCGGGTTCGACCTCCGCGCGGCCCCCCAAAGTCGCGCTCCGAGGGCACTCTTGCCTAAGGTCACTCTTGCGTGTAGCCGAGACCAGTGCCTGAGGCTGCCGAGCACGAATCCGCTCGCCTCCCCTGTCATCCCGCATCATCGCGTCTCTCGCCCCAGCCGCCGTCGTGCTTCACCGAGTCGGGCTGCTGCTCCGCGTGGTGCTGTCGGTGCTGCTTCGAGTCGTTTGGCTGTTCGACGTGCTGTTCCCTGCTGAGTTGCGGCTCGTGCGCGAGCAGCGTAGCGTCTTTAACCTCCGCCTGACGCCTCTTCCTGTAGCTCGACAGTATCGTGCTACTCCCCGCAGCAGGAGTTGAAGGAGCATCAACGGCAAGACGAGGGAGGAGAGGGAGGCAGGGAAGGGTAAGGGAGGGAGGGAGGGAGGGAGTAAGGAGGAGTGGTGAGGGGGGATGGTGAAGAAGATTTGATGCAGGGAGGGATGGACCTGGACGGAGTATGGTGGTGGTTGTGGTGATGATGGTGGTGGTGATGATTATGCTGATAACGATCAGGATGAGGATGAGAAGGATGAACGAATGACGATGTGATGCTGCCGCTGCTGCTGATGCTGTTGCTGAGTTCCCATTTCTGAAGAATCATTATTGTTTACCCCTCCTGCCTGGTGACCACCGTATTTCTCAATCAACGTGGCTCCTCGCAGGGCTCGCACCTGGTTTTCTATCAGGGGAAATCTTGGTCCTCAGGCTGCGACCCTGGCCCCCGACTCACAGCAACAGCGGCTCCCGCCGAACATCTTCTCACAGCTTGTGTGTTGTACTTCCCGCGTTCGCGCGGGACATCCTCAGAATGTGTGCAGGAACCGCGGTCTCGCGTGGTGCTCCCGCACAGTCTATGGCGGCGCCGTGCCCCCATGATTCGGGAGTCACGCTCTCGCTTTTGATTTCCTCACGATCTACTCGGCAATCTTGCTGTCGCTCAACATTTTCTCGCGAAGACGAAGAGGGCGGGTATCGAGGATTTGGGATATACGTGTTGAATGACACGCTGGCAGATAAGAACGAGCAGTTTCAAATGATGGTTGTTGAATGCTCATTCTTGAAAAATAGTTATTGCTGATCCCCCCCACCGCTGCATATCGTGTTTTTTTCAGTTGAAGTGCCCCCCTCGGCACTCGCACCAAGTTTCTTAATAGGGCTAATCTTCGTGCTCAAACTATGCCCCTGGCCACCCAGTTTACAGCGACAGCAACAACAACTGCTCCCGCCTGATACCTCCTCGACATTTATTCCAAATCTAGCTCTCGCGCGGGACTTCCTCACAGTTTATACTCGAATCGCATTTTCGCGTGGGACTTCTTCGCAATTTATTCAGACGCCGCGCCCTCGACACTCAGGAGTGATGCTTTCGCTTTGGCCTTTCTCACGATTTGCTTGGGAACCGCGCTATCGCTTGAGACCTCTCGATTCACGCAGGACTCACGCTTCAGCAACTCGCCTGCTCGACCTGGCCGCCTGGGCCCGCTTCCCGACCCGCCCGATCTGCCCGTCTGGTTCTGCCATGTGTTTTCTGCTCCTAGCCCCCCTCCTGCTATTCTCTCGTGCTCCATCCTTCTCCCTACCCCTTGTCACTTTTCTCCTGCCTTTCCTTTGTAATAGGGCTGCCCCAACTACACGCGACATGTATGGAAGATATACCCCCAAGGGGGGTACGATCGAAGACGAAGAGTTCGGATACCGAGGGTTTGGGATATATGGTCCAGGGTCTGGGTCCCCCACCCCCTCATGCTGATGCCATCGGCCTCCCCCCCCTCCGCGCGATGGTCCCCCCCCACTGTGGGTGTGGTGTGGCGCTGTGGGTGTGGCGTGTGTGGCGTGGTACCGTGGTGCTCCAGGAGAGCTCCGCAGGTCGTCGTCGCCGCCGCCGCCGCCGTCGTCGTCGTCGGAGGGCTCCAGAGGTCGGCGCCGCCACCGCGGCCGTCGCCGCCTCCGTCGTCGCCGTCGTCGTCGTCGTCGACGCCGCCGTTGTCGTCGCCGTCGCCGTCGTCGTCGCCGTCGTCGTCGTCGTCGTCGTCGTCGTCGTCGTCGTCGTCGTCGTCGTCGTCGTCTTCGTCGTCGTCGTCTTCGTCGTAGTCGTCGTCGTCGTCGCCGCCGTCGTCGCCGTCGTCGCCGTCGTCGTCGTCGTCGTCGTCGTTGTCGTCGTCGTCGTCGTCGTCGTCGTCGTCGTCGTCGTCCCCATCCCATCAGGGGGTGGGGAGCCGTGGCGCCCTGGGACCCATCCCATCTGTGGGGTCCGTGGGCCCGCAGACCTGGATCATATCTGTGTTGAATGGCGCGCAAGCAGGTAGGAGCGAACAGTCTTAAACATATTGTGGTTGTTGTTCTTGTTGTTGAAGTTCTATTTGCCAAGAACAACTAAGGTTGATCCACCCTGCCTGGTGCATATTGTGCACATTGTACAGTCAAGTCGCTGAAGTAAGGACCACTTCGGGTTGCAAAAGGGCTGGCCGTTCCTTCTGTCCTTCCATGCTTGCTCCTCTACCGTTCCTCGTGCACGCAGGTGCGTTGGGGGGCCAGAAAGGGGCTTCGCTCCTGATTCGGCGTCTCTTACGGTAGCGGCTTGACTGTAGCCATTCTTGCCCGCGGCTTTTCTCTCACGCCCCCGGCCGCCGTTGCTCCCCCCCACTGCTGCCATGAACCGCTTGGTGCTCGCAGCGTTCGCCCTGCTGCTCGCTGGCGACAGCGCGGCGGGGGCGGCGGTGGACGAGTCCACCACGCTGGCCGACGAGCGCCGCCTCACGGACACCACCGTGGAGGGCGACACCACGAGCGCCGCGGCTCGCAACGGCGGCCTCGGCACCCTGCTCCTGGCGCTCCTCGCGTTCCTTTTCGTGGGCGACGCGGCTTTGCAAAACGAAGGATTGCAAAAAAACCCTTCGTTCGAGTGGGGGCGGCGGATTGCAAAAAAACCCTCCGTTCAAGTGGTTTTTTTTTGCAGTCCTTCGCTCAAGTGGGGGCGGCGGTGGACGAGTCCACCACGCTGGCCGACGAGCGCCGCCTCACGGACACCACCGTGGAGGGCGACACCACGAGCGCCGCGGCCCGCTGCGCGGTGCTCCAGACGGCGCCGGCGCTGGCACTCGCCGCGGCGGCGGGCCTGGCAGCCCGGCGCTGAGCGCCGGAAGGGCCTGGCAGCAGGCTGTCTTCCAGGACGGGCCTCTGAGCTCAGGTCAGGGCGCCAGCTATGCTGCCCCTTCCTCCCCTCTTGTCCTGCCGTCGTCCCCGCCTTCCCTCCTCTCCTCGCCCTGGCCCTCTCTCCCTCTGCCACCCTGGCTCCCACCTCCCTCCTCCCTCTGTCCCCCCTCCCTCCTGCCTCCTCCTCCTCCTCCCTGCTTGCTGCTCTCTGCACCCTCCTCCCCGCTCCTTTTGTCTCTCTCTCTCTCTCTCTCTCTCCCCCTCTCTTTCTTTGTCTTATCAGATGCAATGTCCCTGGGTGCATGGTTCGAGTGGGGTTCTGCGGTGCGGACTCTCGCTGCTCATCGTCGTTGCCCGCTCTCCGACCCGCCCGCGACCCACACCCGCGACCCACACCCGCGACCAACACCGACGATCCCCCCGCGACCCACACAAATTGTTTGCTAAAAACATCGCTGCCTGCGGCAGGCTACTTGTGTAAGCTGTGGCCCGCAGCCCCAAGTCTGGGGCTCATGCGATTTTCCCTCCCTCCGCCCCTCCCCCGCCAAGTCAGGCCGCCGCAGGTGCAGCGGCCCTTGCAAAGACCAGGACCGCATGCTGGCCTGGGGTGGCCAAGGCATGCTGTCACTCCGCCCGTCTCTCCAGAAGGGAAAGCCGTGCGCATGGGACTGTCTTGGATTTTCTTGTAGCCAGTCGGCTGAATGCGAGATGCCCGCCTGCCATGCCAAGCGCAGATTTCGGCCGCCTACTCGGGGGACTGCTTGCCCGCCGCGAAAGTGCTCAGCATGGGCCCACCTCCCCTGCTCTTCCTCCTCCTCCGTTCCCCGTTCCGTCTCCTGCTCACGCCTTCCTTCTCTCTGCTCCTTCCTGCCTCCTCCTTCTCCGTCAGCTTCGCCATTCGCCCAGAGTCAGGCGATCACAGACAGGGATCAGGGGGGCGTGGATTCGCGACGGGTCCCGCTTCCGTGGGAGATCGCGGACCTCCGCCGCCGAGCGAGGCGGCACCGGCCGCATTTTGGGGAGGGCACCTCCCCGGATCCCTGCACCTGGCGACCGCGCGCCAGATCCATGGCTCGCCAGTCCGTGCCTGCGCGCCCCCGACAGAGCGCGGCGCACGCGCACCACCGGGCCGCGGCCCAGCACGCCGCAGCGCCCCCGCGACGCGCACGCCGCGGCCGTGGAGCCTCCGGCACCTGCACGGGCACCTCGGCCGCCTCCGAGCGCGGCCTGCGGCGTCCGCCCTGCAGGGCTTTCGCCTCGACTCCTCCGATGCGGCTCGCGTCGATTTCGGCTCCGACTCCGCATCGGTTCGACTTCGGGCTCCCACGTGGGCTTCGGCTCCTCGACGGGGGCCTCTCTGGCCTGCCGATCTCCGCCGCTTCGGCTCCTCCGACTCCTCTCGACCACCGACCCGACTCGTCCGCTCGATTCGGGGCACTCCTGCCCCAGGCCCAGGCCCACCACGCCACCGCCAACCGCCACCAGGTGGCCCTCCCCAAGTTCCAGCGCCAGCCTTAAGAGTCGGGCATGTCCCTCAAAAGGAGGAATATTCAAAAATAGTTTAAAACAATAGTCAGGGGACAATTCTCCCTGCTATTGTTTGACTATTCTGAAGCATTTTTGGAGTATTTACCTGACAGCGAAGACTGATAGGTTTCTAATAGGGTCAAAAGAGAGCATCATGACTCCCCAGGGGGGTCTGGGCGGCATCCGGACAGGGATCCGCGGAAGTCGTTTTAAGCAAACAGTTACACACTTCGTGGTCTTCGAGGTCCCAGAACTCCATTCCCGGGCCACATTCTGAATGCCCGGAGCTCACTGTAGGCCACTTCGTGTTCTTCGAGTTCCCCGAACTTCATTCTTGGGCATGATTTTGAATGCCCGGAGCCAACTGTAGGCCACCTCGTGGTCTTCGAGTTCCCAGAACTCCATTCCTGGGCATGATGTTGAATGCCCGGAGCCAACTGTAAGCCACTTCGTGGTCTTCGAGTTCCCAGAACTCCATTCTTGGGCATGATTTTGAATGCCCGGAGCCAACTGTAGGCCACTTCGTGTTCTTCGAGTTCCCAGAACTACATTCCCGGGCCACATTTTGAATGCTGAGGCAGAGGCAGGCTGAGGCTGAGGCAGGCTGAGGCTGAGGCCGAGGCTGAAAGCAGACTGAGGCTGAGGCTGAAGCAGGCTGAGGCTGAGGCTGAGGCAGGCTGAGGCTGAGGCTGAGGCAGGCTGATGCTGAGGCAGGCTGAGGCTGAGGCTGAGGCTGATGCAGGCTGAGGCTGAGGCAGGCTGAGGCTGAGGCTGAAGGCAGACTGAGGCTGAGGCTGAAGCAGGCTGAGGCTGAGGCTGAGGCAGGCTGAGGCTGAGGCTGAGGCAGGCTGAGGCTGAGGCAGGCTGAGGCTGAGGCAGGCTGAGGCTGAGGCTGAGGCTGATGCAGGATGAGGCTGAGGCAGGCTGAGGCTGAGGCCGAGGCTGAAGGCAGACTGAGGCTGAGGCTGAAGCAGGCTGAGGCTGAGGCTGAGGCAGGCTGAGGCTGAGGCTGAGGCAGGCTGATGCTGAGGCAGGCTGAGGCTGAGGCTGAGGCTGATGCAGGCTGAGGCTGAGGCAGGCTGAGGCTGAGGCCGAGGCTGAAGGCAGACTGAGGCTGAGGCTGAAGGCTGAGGCTGAGGCTGAGGCTGAGGCTGAGGCAGGCTGAGGCTGAGGCTGAGGCAGGCTGATGCTGAGGCAGGCTGAGGCTGAGCTGAGGCTGAGGCAGGCTGAGGCTGAGGCAGGCTGAGGCTGAGGCCGAGGCTGAAGGAGGCTGAGGCTGAGGCTGAAGCAGGCTGAGGCTGAGGCTGAGGCAGGCTGAGGCTGAGGCTGAGGCAGGCTGAGGCGGCTGAGGCTGAGGCTGAGGCTGAGGCTGAGGCTGAGGCTGAGCTGAGGCTGAGGCTGTGACTGCGACTGCCGTTGCCACTGCGACTGTCATCGCGAATGCGACTACGACTGCGAGAACAGCAGAATTCTACAACTGGATTCTCATCTGAATCTTAAGGGGAATGCTTCCAGATGTGCTCCTACACATCGCTGTTAGGTTGCTTTGCCGGGATAATTTTCCTTTTTCGCCCAGAGTCCGCCTGTAGGTCACCCGCCGTGCCGCCTGCCTGGAGCAGGGCCCGGAGCTCTCCGCGGGCCGAGGGCACCCAGCAGCTCAGGCTCGCCTGCACGGCAGCATGCGCTGCAGCGGCAGCCTATCGTCAAGTCGGGCGTGTCCCTCCACAGGAGGAATACTGAAAAGTAGTAAAAAAATAGTCAGGGGACGATTTTTCGATTATCTTTTACTATTTTGGGATATTTTTGGAATATCTTTGATTTTCCGCCCAAAATCCGCCTGCAGGGGGACATGCCCGACGTAAGCCTGTCGGCGCAATCTGTTCTCTGGCTCCCCCCGACGTGAGACGCGCTCGGGGGTCCGACCTTGACCCGTGTCGCGAGGCACCCCTGCAGTTCCGCAGGGCGGAGTGCATGCTCATCAAGGACTGGAGCACAGATCACGCGTGAGGCAGGCTCCCGATGGTGGGTGCGCAGCCGGTGCGTGGGCACGCAACGACGAAACTTCGTCCACCTGCAGCCTGCACCCGCCAACAGCCCCCCCAAACCAGCTGGACGCATCCACCACTGTGGAGGCGGAAGACGACTGCAGCCAGGACCCCGCGTCCAGCGATTCCGAGGTTGCAACCGCTTCCCTGGGGCCTCGGCTGCCTATCGTACTCCAGGCGCCCAACTCCACGCTCAGTGGCATCTCGCCAGTATATCATCGGATTAGCGAGCAACATGCCCACTTTGGGAGTCTTCGTCTTGAACATCGAATATTGTGAGGTTTATTCACAATACCTGGAATCCACAAACACAAAAATGCATCGGCTGATTTGCGCCCCGTGGAGGGTGTGGCGCATTCTGTGGCGCGCAACGTTGGGTGCAGTCCGTGGACTGTAGACAGACCAGGGCCATCGCGAATTTATGCCCCGCTGGGTGTCTGGCACAACCTGAGCCGCGCAACGTGGGGCGCAACCTGTGAAATGTACACAGGCTGGGGGAATCGCGATTTGGTGCCCCGCGGGTGGTCTGGCGCGACCAATGGCACGCAACCTTTCGTCATACTGGGGGATCCGCGATTTGGTGCCCCATTTGGGGGTCGTCTGGCGCAACCGATGCCGCGCAGCGTGAAGCACAACCCATTACGGTAGGTTTGCGTCGTGTCGACCAGCGGCGACCCCAGCGCGGGCGTTCAAGGTTGAACGCCGCCGGCGACCCAGAATCGGTCGATGTTGAACGATCGGACGTTGCGGCAGCGGCCGATCGTTCAAGGTTGAACGATCCCTGCGGTGTCAAAAACCAACGCTGGGGTCGGCACGACACGAACCTGCCGTACGTGTAGACAAACCGGGAACTCGCGATTTGGTGCCTGCGTGGGGTCTGTCGCAAACGCAGGCGAGCCGCGTATCCAACTCGTAATCCGGTGGGGCGGGGCCGTCCCGTGCCGTGTGCAGCGCCGCGCCGTGGAGTGCGGTGCTGTGCCGCGTCGTGTCGTGTCCTTCCGCATGCTGCTCGGGGCATCTTGGAGTGCCTGATCTGGACGCCCGAAATGGGTACTGAAAGAATGGGTACCATGCCCGACAGCAGTTCCTGTTCACTTTGAACAGGGCTCGCTGTCCACGCCGCCGCGGCCTGTGTCCATTCGAGACAGGAGGCCGCCTGCCCAACAGCGGCCGCTGTTGGTTTGGGACAACATTTGCTGTTGGGCATGGTACCCATTCTTTCGGTACCCATTTCGGGCGTCCAAACCTGAGACTGTGTGATCGCGGGGCCTTAGAGAAGATCGACCAGCCATCGCGCTCAAGGCGAGATGCGCAATCCGGAAAGAGGAGGAACTGGATCTCTCATCCTTTCATCGGGCCCCAACCTGGTCGCACAGGCAGGGTAGGCCACGGCAACTTCTGCGTTCCTCACCCTTGCTGAATACGTGGCTTGTCCTCGATTTGCTTTTTCCCAAGGCGTCTCCTCCTTGTCGTCCTTCTCCATCTCTCCCTCCTCCATTCCTCCCTCCCCTGCGTCCTCACTCCCGTCCTTCTCGTCCTCCTGCTCGTGCCCCTGCTCCACCCTCACCTCGTGTCATCATCGTCTTCGTCATCGTCATCGCCGTCGTCGCCGTCGTCGTCGTCATCGTCGTCGTCGTCGTCGTCGTCGTCGTTGGCGTTGTCTTCATCCGTGGTCGTGATGATCGTGATTGCAAGATGCAAGGATGATGATGATGCCGATGATGAGGATGATGATGACGATGATGATGAGGATGAGGATGATAATCAGGATGATGATGATGATGATGATGATGATGATGATGATGATGATGATGATGATGATGACTGCTGCTGCTGCTGCTGCTGCTTCTGCTTCTGCTGCTGCTGATGATGATGACGTTGATGGTGGTTGTGATGATGATGATGATGATGATGATGATGATGATGATGATGATGATGAGGATGCTGATGATGATGATGATGACGATGATGATGATGATGATGATGCTGATGCTGCTGATGATGATGATACTGATGCTGATGATGATGATGATGCTGCTGCTGCTGCGCATGATGATTTTTCGGATGATGAGGATTATGATGATGATGATGATGATGATGATGATGATGATGCTGATGATGATGCTGATGCTGATGATGATGATGATGACGATGAGGGGGCGAGGAGGAGGAAGAGGAGCAGGAGGAGGAGGAGGAGGAAGAGGAGGTGGAAGCATTTTGAATTCAAAGTTCTCTTTCTTCCACGGATGGAGCAATGACCTTTTCAAGTTCCCCCTCCAACCAATCCCATTCGAGAGCGAGAACCTTTTTCAAGTTCGTTCTCCCACTGCTGGACCAAGAACCTTTTCAAGTTCCCTCTCCAACCAATCGCGTACGGAAGCGAGAACCTTTTCAAGTTCCCTCACCCGCGGCTGGAAACCAGAAGCCACTATCCTTTCCAACCGCTGGGTTACGAGAGCGAGAACCTTTTCAGGTTCCATCTCCCGCGGCTAGAGCGGGAACTTCTCCATGGTCCTTCCTCAACCAAGCACCGACGAGAGCGAGAACCTGTTCAAGCTCCCTCATGGCGAAAACCTTGTTTCGCAATGGCTCGGAGGGCGCCCCGCATCAACACGCCCGATAGGTGGGAGTACGCAGCAGCAGCAGCAGCAGCAGCAGCAGCAGCAGCAGCAGCAGCAGCAGCAGAACAAGCACCAACAGCAGCAGCAGTGCCAGCAATAGCAGCAGAACAGCGAGCATCCGTCCAGCAGTGACCGCCCCCCTGGCGACGGCGACGACGGCGAGTGCGACGACGACTGTGACAAAGACGGTGTTTGGTACAACTGGGCCCCCAGTCGTCGTCGTCGTCGTCGTCGTCGTCGTCGTCGTCGTCGTCGTCGGCGTCGTCGTCGTCGGCGGTGGTGGTCGTCGTTGTCGTCGTCGTCGACGTCGACCTCGGTCCTCCTCGGGGCCATGTCGATCGCTACGCTCGGGGGTCCCTCGGGGAGGCCTGGAGGACGCCCCGTGCGTCTTCTATCCGGACAGGTCGCGCGTCGGGGCGCGCGCGATTCTGCACGCGAGGTGGCTGTACCTGTACGGCAACCGCCTCCGGGATCTGCCGAGGGGGCTGCTGAGGTCGGTCCCGCTGCTGGAGAGGCTGCTGCTCGAGGAGCTTCCTGGGAGAGGGAGAAGAAGAGGAGAGAAGGATCGAATCGACTCGCCAGGGGCAAGTGTCGCGCTCCGCAGCGCCGTCTCGGCGCCCCCCCCCCTTGAAGGGGGCCGCGGGGATGGAGCTCGACCCCCCCCCCAAACCAGCTAGGGCAGCATTCGCAGCCCGCCCTGCCCGGCGGACAGCAGCCACCCGGGCCCCAGCCTTCCGCCGCAGGCGGGGAGGAGGGAGGGAGGGCCTCCTCCCCTCCTGGGGCGGACGGGGAGGGGAGGGAGGGAGGGAGGGGAGGAGGGAGGGAGGGGAGGAGCGGCGGGAGGGAGGCGAGGCAGGAGGGAGGCGGGAGGGGAGGGAGGGAGGGAGGCGAGGAGGGAGGAGAAGCCCGAGGAGGCAGGCGTGGAGGGGAGCAGCGGTGCGGCGCGCAGGGAGGCAGGGCCTCCGCCCCTCCCCGCCCGCTCCCTCCGCGGGGCTGCGCCCTCCGGCGGCGCCCCCTCTCCCGCCGGCCCTCCTGCCTGGCTCCCGCCGATGGCCGTCTCGGGGCCGCCTCGGCCAGGCGTCGCGTGCCGTTGCCGCCCCGTCTGGGCCGACGGCCGCGGGAACCAGAGGATGCTGGATGATAGCGAGCCGAGGAGGAGGGGGAGGAGGAGGAGGAGGAGGAGGAGGGGGACGAGGAGGAGGAGGAGGAGGAGGAGGAGGAGGAGGAGGAGGAGGAGGAGGAGGAGGAGGAGGAGGAGGAGGAGGAGGAGGAGGAGGAGGAGGAGGAGGTTGGCATTACAATTAACGGGAAATGCCGATCTTTGGACGATAGGTAGCGGGAAACTCCGATGACAACTAGCCGATTGCCGTCTTGGGGCCGTCTCGGCCAGGCGTCGCGTGCTGTTGCTACGACCGTGCTTTTGGGCCGATGCTTCGGCCTGGGCGGTGCAGCACTGCCTAGTGCAGCACCGGCTTTCACCCCTCTCGATTGGGGCTGCGGATCTGCCTCGCGACCTCTTTTCACTTGGCTCGTGAGGCGAACGTCACGCGCGCGAGCTGGGGGTATTCTTGGGCCTCTTGGGCCACCTTCGGGCTATATTTAGCATTTTCGGCTATATTTAGCATTTTCGGGCCTCTTGGGCCTCTTGGGCCATTTTCGGGCTATATTTGGCATTCTTGAGCCTATCTTGAGGCCCCTGCGGTCCATTCACATTGCGTCGTGGGGGCCACCTTGGGACCACCCTGGGCAATCTACGGGGGCACTGGGAGCTGTGGGATCAGGACATGGGACCTAAAAAACATGACGGCACACATTCTTTTATGTTGTTTGCTCTCTCGGTGCCGCCTTGGGGCCTTCCTGGGCCATCTTAGAGGCATCCTGGGACCATCTTCGGCCGCCTTGGACTCTCGAGGACATCTCCGGGGTCCCTTGGGACCGTCTTCGAGGCCTCCTGGGTCCTCCTGGCCCTGCGGTGGCGTCCCTGTCGGATTTCCGGGGGCAGCCCACAGGAGGATGCCGAGGGATACCCCTCCTCCTCCTCCTCCTCCTCCTCCTCCTCCTCCTCATCCTCCTCCTCCCCCTCCTCCTCCTCCTCCTCCTCCTCCTCCTCCTCCTCCTCCTCCTCCTCGTGCGTTGGGTTGACTCCCCTGGGTTTCGCCCGGTGTCCGCCCGTCGCGGCCCCGTCGCCGCCGCGGTGCTCTGGGCGGGTTCTTCGAGTTTTCGCCCTGAGCTACGTCCCGTCGCCGCTCCGTGGCTGCCTCGCGTGGGTTGCACGACTGTGCAGTGCGCCACACACGGTGCACCATGGTGATCCTGAGCACCAGAGGTGCTAGCAGCCTCGCTTTTGCTGTTACTGCTGCTGTTGCCACTGTTAGCCCGGTAATCAAGTCTAGACGCTTCGTGCAAACCCACCAGCTCATCCAGAAACGATGCCCAGGCGAGTTGCCCTGACCAGGGATGTGGAGGAGCATGAGGTGGACTCAAAGGCTGGGTAAGACGTTATACCCCAAGAGGGGGAGGCTGGAGGAGAAATCGGATGAGGAGCAGGAGGAGGAGGAGGAGGAGGAGGAGGAGGAGGAGGAGGAGGAGGATGATCACAGACCTTGCTTCCAGGTCTGCGAGCGGGCCGCCATTAACAGTTACTCGGTGAGGAGAAGTAGGGAGATGGGGAGGAGGAGGGGGGACCAGTGGAAGCCCAAGATTCATCAACGATGTTGGAATAAACCTTCCCTCCAAGCTTCCTCTTCATAGACCCCATACAAGGTCCACTGAAGGAGCTGCCTCGTTGGGAGAGAACCGTTGCAAGACCCTTATTCATGCCCAAACAGCATTCTCTATTCCAACGCCACGAATCAACATGACTATTGCGTCTTGACGATCCTGGGCCCTGCCAAACACCATTCCTGGGACTTAAACACCGGTAGTCGAGGTAATTCTTGCGCCCTCGCAATCCTGAGTGCGTCCAAAACACCATTACTGGCACGTTGACTATGGGAATCCGTGAAGCTCTCGCAAATCTAAAAAACCGAAAGTGCGTGCCGCTAAGGCAATAGCCACATTTTGAAAACCACCCGCCCTCAATCCGTGAAGCTCTTGTACATGTTTGAAATTCTTCACACTAGCTTGTTCGACGTCCTCGTCGGTTGCGTCACGGCCTTCGTCTGCATTGTGGCCTTTTCTCGGTGCTGGCGTTGCAGTGGTTATGTCCGTGGTCGCTTTCCTCGAGCTCGTGGACATCATGAATTTCGCCATTTTGGTGTTGCACCTCGACCAGTGGTTTTTCCTGGTCTACCGCATCTCCCGAACCGCAGCGTAGCTCGCTCCTGTGTGCTCTTTCTCCGCTTCTTCCCCCGCGTTGTTCGCCTCGTTTTCCGCTTGTTTTCGTTCCCCCCTCGTGCCGCGGAGTTTAGGCCGTTACTAGCTAGCCGCGTTTCTTGACGGCGCCCGGCATCCCGGCGCGCTCGCGAACGAAAACAACTTATCCTCACCAGCCCATTCAGAAACCCTGCTCTTCAGAGCTGACGGGAAGAGGGACGAAGAGACACATCTAGGGAAACAAAGCGAGCAACGGGATGGCCTTGGAAGGCCTCTTCGGGCCATCCCTGGGTGTCGCGTCGGGGCGAGGCGAAGAGGAGGGGGAGGAGGAGGAGGAGGAGGAGGAGGAGGAGGAGGGGGAGGAGGAGGAGGAGGGGGATGAGAAGGAGGAGGACGAGCAGGAGGAGGAGGAGGAGGAGGAGGAGGAGGAGGAGGAGCAGGAGGAGGAGGAGCACGAGGGGAAGGAGGAGGAAACGGAGGAGGAGGCGGAGGTGGAGGAGGAAAAGGAGGATGAGGACGAGGAGGACGAGGGGGACGAGGGGGACGAGGAGGACGGGGACGTGGATGAGGACGAGGACGAGGAGGACGAGGACCAGGATGAGGACGACGCGGACGAGGACTCATGGAACCATCTAGAAGTATTATTGTGGCTGCTGCTGCTGCTGGTGCTGCTGCTACACATCTCAGGGAGTTTTTGGGGCCCTCCTGGAACCTTCTTGGTAACCCCCGAAGGCTTCTTGGGATCATTTGGGAGGCCATCGATTACAGGATGGTGGGGTTCCCAATTCAGCTCCCCCCATCAGGAGCCGGCAAACCGCTTATTGGGGCTCTCTTGGAGCGCTCTTGGGCGCTCTTGGAACGCTCTTGGAGCCGTTTGGACCATCTTGGAGTCCATCTTGAGCCAGCTTGGGCTATCTGAGCCATCTTGGACGTCATCTTGGGCTCTCCGGGGCCGCTCGGGGGGCTCTTGGGGGCCTCTCGGGAGCCTCTTGGGGCCATTTTGGGATCCTCTTGGAACCCTCTTTGGGGCTCTCTTGGGGTTCTCTTGGGGGCCCTGGAGCGCCTCTTGGGGCCATCTTCGAGGCTGTCGCTCAAAGGAGGGAGGGTCCAGATCGAGGCCCCCTCCTCGGGGTCCACGATCCTTGTGAGGGGTGTCAAAAATTGGCCCTCCCAGGGGCCGAAAAAGGACCCTCCAACCGATCGCGGCCCTTCCCGCCCAGGTCCAGGGGAGGGGGTACGGGGAGGGGTTACCCCTCCCCGAAGGACAAGAGGGCTTTTTGGAAGAGGGGAAAACGTCATCGTTAGACGATCTGCGCCCAGAGGGCTGGTGACATCAATGTGCTCGGCGCCAATGCGAGATCCACATTGTGAAACGTTTGCCAGTTTGTATGCTTCAGGGTCATAAGTGGTGCGGAAGTCTCAGGCGAAACGCCCGGCCCACCCTTTCGACCGGCATCGGGGTGCGACAGGGAGGATTTATTTATAAGGAAACGGAATGGAGAAAGGAGGAGGAAGAGGAGGAAGAGGAGGAGGATGAGGAGGAGGAGGGCGACCAGAAAGTCCAGAAGCATCTTGGATGCCTCTTGGAGTCTCTTCGGATGTCTTTCGAGAGCTTCTTGGAGGCCTCTTGGGGCGTCTTGGGGGCCTCTTGGCAGTCCCAGGGGCTTCTTGAATCGTCTCAGGTGCCTCTAGGGCCTCTTGGGTCCTCTTGGGGGTCTCGTGGGAGCGTCTTCGATCTTGGGGGCCTCTTGGGGGTCTGATGGAGCCTCCTAGGCGCCTCTTGGGGCCCTCTTGAGAGCCTTGGGGCCATCTTGGGGCCATCTCGGAGGATATCGATCCAAGGAGGGACCGTCAATGGCGCCCCCCCTTGCCCCTATTCTTACGAGCCATGTATAGAACCCTGAAAGAGACGATGTCTTCAGGGTGCAGCATACAGAACATAAGAACTGTCCTCATACTATTCCCAGAATTGCGTTCCCAAGGAGGTGGGGCGGATTCAGCCTCCTCGTCCTCCTCCTCCTCCTCCTCCTCCTCCTCCTCCTCCTCACCCGTTTCCCTTATTGAGGGCCCCTTCTCTTCTCCTGCTCCTGCTTTTCCTTTCTCGACCTCTTCCTATCCCGCTGCTGTCCATCGTCGTCGTCCGCTCCCCCGTATTCCTCGCCTATTCTCACCTCTCCCTGCATTCCGACGGAGCGCCCCTGTGATATAAACA